GTTGGTCTGGCCCAGAAGACTCACATCACCCCATTTAACACCACAAAGCTTGTAATAAATGTCTTAATGCATTGTCAAATCCATTTGCTAAATAACATAGTCTCACAGGAGTATTTTGAAATGCTCCATAATATATTATGTTCACTAAACTGCTTCCAAATCAAAAGAAAAAAGTAAAAACCCTGAATTTAAAATCAGAAAAACAATTCACATAATGCATTTTAGACTCTTGAGGATAGAAAAGGACTTTCTAGAACATCTCCACCTTCTTTAATGACCTATTTTTCAATGCATGATTGTAAGTCTGGGGAAAGGAAATCCCAGGACAAAATACCTCTAAAACCGAAATCAGTCAAACTGAGAAATAAAGTTTAAAACCCATTTATTGCTTACAAACTGCAGTCTGGGGCTGTTTCTCACTCCTCCTCCACCAACAGAAGCTAACCAGCCCTCCCCTTAACCTCTCAGGTTCAGATAAGTCCTTGGTTGCCCAGGTAATTACCCACTGATATGGAGATGAATTTCTCCACCCCTGAGGAACACCTATTGATATGCAGATGAACCAAAGCCACACTTCTCTTCACCCCTTCGGATGCACTAAAGTCAGGCAAGATATTCTGGAAATATTACAATTTTACCAGCAAGGATGCTTTTTATACTTGCTATCTTTGCAATGGAAGGAATTTTAAAAACAGGATCACACAGAGTTTATATTCTTTGGTGAAATTAAGTCTTCTTTACAGGAGAAATTTTTAGTTCCCAGATTCTTGCCATATGATGTGTTTGTGCCTGCCATGTCATGTCAGTAGTTTCACTGCAACATTTGATTTCACCTCAATCTAAGTAATTTTTGCCACCAGCTACTGTCATTGACTTGTTCCTCTGCATGATTGCATCTTCCTTACAAGTGATGTATTCTGGATACTTAAATTAGTTTTAGGCTATGGTTAAAACTGTGGCTAAGGAATTTTTCTATTTCAATAGAACAACAAATGGAGAAGCTTTTCTAAGTTCTCATCCCTCTGTGGGTAGTGAAGAGCTTATCTAAAAAATGATCATTAGGAGGGTGGAGCTAAAAAACCTGAACATGGAGAGGTCAAAATCCTCTCCACACCCAGTCATTTCTTATGCCAAGGGAAAAGGAACCAAAAAGTCCTTGGTAGCTTTGGGTAGCTACTCTTAATTTATTGTGTCCTTTATTTGAGAAAATGGTGAAACTTACATACAGAGGAAGAAGTGTTAAAGTTTTTTCCTCACAGATGGATATGTGTTCATCCCACTGAGATGGACTGTGAGTGTAGTCAGAGTAGGGTGACAGCCTCTGGAAAAAGCAAGGCAGGATATTTGCAGTCAGAACAATGTAACAATGTGCAAAGAAGTCCCTATCGAAACTCTGTGTTAAGCATTATGCAAAGTCAAGGTCACACTAATTCTTTAGGGTAAAGATATCAGACTAGGAATATAGACATCTTCAGTGAGATAAGTTAAAGCTCAAAAGGCCAGGAGCAACTTGGCCTGGACTGTTTGAGTGTTCTGCAAATAAAGAAGGGTATCTCAGCATAACCCATGACTTCACTGCAAACAGTGCTAGGAAACAGACAACAACCTAGCCTACCTTGGGGGCAGGGCAGGTAGTACAAGCCTGCACCCCCAGCCCTTTACCCACATTCCTGAAAATCCTCAACCAACTATAAATCCCCTAGACAACGCACCATCACAGGCTCTCTTGTCCCCTCCTGGTGTGAGCCAGGAGCTCTGTCCTCTCACTGTATCTCTAAATAAAAGCCTCTCCCTGGCTCTCTTACCTTGAGTGTTTGCTAAGTTCATTCTTAGACCCTGCAAACAAGAACCTCAGCATCACCATCAAGCATTTTTTCTTACTTTTCTTGTGAAAGATAAGACAGTGTTAAGTGTTGACGCTTCCTCTGGCAGAAGACCAGTTATGTGAAGCTACTTGGCCCATGAAAATGGAAACTTCCCGCTCATAAATTGCTATGATCTTAAGCAGGTCTACTAATGTCACTCTCTTTTCAGAAAACAACAAAGGTTCAGGGTAGCTTATTTAAACCTTTCAAAATTCTTAGAAGATGCTGAGTTGTGGATTTAGTTCTTCCCCTTCTTTGCAGGGAGTGGGGTCCAGGGCAGAGATTTGGATCAGGAACATGGACTGTCTTCAAATCTACCTGGTGGCCACCACACTAGGATAAAAGAGCTCGTGGGCTGACATTTAATTCTTAGCAAAGATAAAAAAAAGTCTTCTTTTCCCAGACTACTTGGTAAAGCCTACAAATCTGGGGATGGGTGTGAAAAAGAAAAGCTTTGGGTAGGCATTTACAATGCTAGATGACTTGAATCTCTTAAGAAGCAGAAAAGTGTAACAGATAAAACGAATCCAGGGTATATGAAAGGGACCATGGTCTTGTCAGATCTGACATATCATTTTTAGTATATATTAACACAACTTTATACGGGAAGATACAAAAAGAATGAAAGAGGTTTCCTATGTTTGTGTTTTTCTTGAAAGAGCCCCCAAAATGGCTGATCAAATAGCCCTGCTGTGGGTAAAATTGCAATATTTCCAGAATCTCTTGCCTGGCCTTAGTGCATCTGATCAGTAGGTGTTTCCCAGGGTTGGACAGAAGTACTCCATCTCCGTATCAATAGGTGACTACAAAGTTGTGGGGGAATGAGGGCATTTCTGGATCAGAGAGGTTTTGTCAGGCCCTTTCTGCAGCAGGGTCAGGAGAGACACTGGAGAGCTGAAGTGGACGACTGCTTGTCAGCAATAAACAGGTTATTCCCACTTTATTTCTCCCTTTAATTGATTTCAGCTTCAAGGGTTATTTGCCCTGGGCTGGGAACATATTTCCCCCCAAGAGTTACACCTGCTTGCTCAGCTTGAATTCAGCAGAAGTCAGGCCAAAGGTTTGATCAAACCTAAGTTAGTGTGTACCTCGTGAGTCTAGCATTTAAACTCAATTCCTACCTGTGTCAGGTGTAACTGATGGTTATGGAAAGATGTAGAAATAATGAACATTTATTAAGTGCTTTCCATAATATATGTAGTGCTATATACTTTTTACATAATTTCATATAATTATTACAAATACCTTATAAAGTAGGAAGTCTTATTCTGGATTGGAAAAAACCATCACTAACACTTGAGAAACAACTCATTATGTATGCCTTACTCATGGCGGACCAATAAGGCTGCCAGATTATAGAGATTAGCTCATGCTGAGGTGTACTAAGGTATTGCTTTTTTCCTGGGACACTTCACTAGGCCAACTGGCCCTCTTACCTCACTGACTGTTCCTCCATCTACTTTGCTGAATCCTCCTCATTTTAGTCTTACTGGGAGTGCCCTGGGGAACACTTCTTGGTCCTCTTCTCTACCTACATGACTTTAAACACCATCTAATGCTGACAAATTGGTATATATATTTCATTGCCTACAACTGTTTTCATACGGATGTTTAATAAGACTCCTCAAACTTACCATCTCTAAATCAGTTTACAAATACTCTCCTCCCCAAAGCAAATCTGTTCTGCCTTTCTCCAAGTGCAGTATATGTTAGCTCCACTCCCAAGAGCCCAGATCAAAACCCTAGGTACCATCTTTCAGTCTTTTTCTTATATCTAATCTATCAGCAATTCCTGTGTGCTTTATCTTCTAAATGGAATCAATCTGACCACTTCTCCCCATCGCTCTGATTTTGGTCCAGGCCATCCTTATTTTTCATTCCAGCTGGGCTCTTCTCCTTGCTTACTCTCTTGCTTGCCCATGTATATTGCTCACAGGGCAATTGGTCATTTTTAAGGAAAAATAATTTTTATTACCAACCTTTTGAAACACACAAATACACATAAATGATGACCAACCCCATGCACCTCCACAACAAAAATTGACATTTTGCTGGTCTTCCTCCTTTTATTCTCTACCCTCCCTTTTTTACTGGCATATTTTACAGAAAATATCAGCAAAGTCATCCTTTCAATTATCAGCTCAAGCTGGTCACATCTTTCCAGTTGCTTCCCTTCTCAGTAAAAGCCACATCCTTCGTGGTGGCTCCCACACCTGGTGGGCAGGTGCACGTCTGGCGGCTGCACGGAGACAGACCCCCAGACCGGGTGGGTAGGTGCACGTCTGGGGGCTGCGGCTGCGGACGCCACCGCATGCGCCGCAGGTCTGAGGCTCGGGACGCAGCCGTTGTCCGCGGGCGCCTGGACAGCCACCTGCCACACCGACCCGGCACTCCTCAGCCGCCCGGGTCTCCGCACTACGCCCCCGCGCCCTGACACTCTGCTCTCCTCGAGACCCATTTCATTCCGTCTGTTAAAAGAGCCTTCCGCGACCACTCCTCACAGGGTATCCCACCGCCTCGTCCCGACTTCTTCACGGCAGGCGCGGTCGCTGCCGCAGCGGTCTACACCGCCAGCTCTCCAGCAGGGCTCGCTCCACAGTACAGAGTCCGGCCGACAGGTCATACACTGCAGAGCGAGGCCCAGATTCTTGCTGGGGACACTGGACAGCAGATTCCTTTCTTCTTGCCTGTTTCCCATTTGTAAAGGCAGTGGTCGGTTTGCCTGCCTTTCCGTCTCCAGAGGCACAGGCCCGAACCAAAAGAAGTGCACAAGCCTGTGAGGCAGAGCAGTAGGTGGACGTCCCCACGCGGTCTTTCGGGCTCCCTTCCTGCGAGGACAACCCCGCCCCCCGTCTGTCCGCGCCCGGGGAGCCCCAAGCCCGCTCCGCGCCGGCGCCTGTCTACCCGCCTCCCTCGGGGGCTGCCAGGCTCCCTAGTCAACCCCGCGCGCGCGCACGCGCCTCCCTCCGCGGCGGCAGGAAGGGGCGGTGCCGAGGGAGGGTCCCGGACGCCGCGGGAGCCGCAGCGCCGTCCGGTCACAGAGCCGGGCAAACCCGGAAGTGGCCGAGCCGCGCGCCTGCCGGTACCGCCGCCACCGCCCCGCAGTCGGGCGAGCGCGGGGCCGCGCAGGCTGACGGAGCGCCCGGCCCGGCCATGGCCGCGGGGGCCGCCGCGGGGGGCGCGCGGTGAGTGGAGCGCGGCGCCCTCGGGGCGGATGGAACGCGGCGCGGCGGGCGGGCGGAGCCGGCGTCAGCGGCTGGAATGGTGCTGGAGCGGCCGAAGCCCGCGTTCTGAAGCCCGAGAGGAGCCACAATGGAGACGCCGCCGTTGCCTCCCGCGTGAGTGAGCGGGCTGGCTGACGCTGGGCCCCGGGTGGCGGGAGGACGCGGGGCTCGGGAAGGACGCGGGGCGCGCCGCCCGCATTCCGGAGGTGCACATGGACGGAACAGCCTGGCCGGGCCGTGACTGGAACGCTGCTCGACATTTCCAGGGAAGGGTCTCGCCGCCCGGGCGAGTGGAGGTGCCCCGTGTTCGGGGCCCCTGCCCGCGCTGCGCGCCGCCGGGACGCGCGGGCTTGGCTCCCCAGCCTGCCGCCGGGTTCCGGGGTTAGAGCCCGGAGTCCTGAGAGGAGACCGCAAAGCCCCAGGCGCCGGCGCCGGGGTGAACTGACTCAGCTTGCTGCTTCGAATTTCCAGCAAAACTGACATCCGAGGGTCGTGCCCATCACCAGATGATCTGCGGCTGTCCAGGGCCTGCGCCCCTTTGCCTGGCGCCGCGCCGTGTCCGCCGCGTCTGTGGCTCTAGCGCTCTGCGCTAATTAGTGTAGTGACCTGATAGGCACAGGTGTCTTTTTCCTTGGTACCCAGATACATTCCAGATCAACCTGCAACAAGATTAACTTTCCAGAAATAACAACAGCTGGACAATTATGTTGACGATGTTGAAGACTTACATTATTTAATACAATGTAATTTTTTAAATACTTGGTAAAAGTGGACCATAAATCCTGAGGCGTTTTGAAAATTTTAATTTTAATTTGCCTTCCTTAGCTTAACCTTTATGAAGGTTCAAGAGCCATTTGGACCTGACTCTTCAAACTGTAAGCCAACCTCATTCTGAAGAACGACGTACCTTTTGAGGGTTTATTCATGGGGCCTTGCTCTTCACTGAGATTTGGTCAGCTTCACTCCATGGTAGTTGTAGGGTACCAGCCTCTTGTTTGGCAGAATTTCAGCCAAAATATGGATATTTGGCTTGGCTGAACAATTTTTTGATGATGGGTCCTTTTAGGACAGCTACCAGGATATTGGGACTACAGTTTCTAAAAGTACCTCAAAATATTTAGCTTGAGTGGAACAGATATAGGGATATAAGGAGTAGATGGTAAGACTTGTGAAATGACCCTCCTGGGCTGGTAGAGAAGCAAGGGCTCAGTTGCTTGGTGATTGCTGTGGCTTTAAGGCTGGTCCTGTTCTTCAGCAGGTTCCAGAAGGCTGTTGAGCCTATAGGAAACATGTGGATTGTTAGCATCAGTAGTGGGGGTGCAGCACCACGTGGGTGCTGTCTGGGTTCAGAGGCACTCAAGGCAGAAAAGGGACCTGGATGAAAACAGCACATAGTATGTAGAATATGCCATGTAGACATGTTGGCTGTAGTAAACCTACCCCCTTTTTATCAGTTCTCTGCATTCCCTTTTTACTTCGGGAGCAGAGGGAGCTAAAGGGAAGACAGGAGATCTTAGAATCAGGTGAAAAAAGGGGTGTGGAAAAGTAGACTGGGAGGGAGGGAGGACAAACGTAGAAAATGATTTAAGTAGAAATAATTTAAAATGAGATAGAATGTAGCATGCAAACTGAATCTAGAACAGATCAAGTCATCAAACTGTTGGTGTCTAGCCCAGTTCTTTGGTTTTGAGACTACATCTGTAATGGTGGAACAATGACAGGCTGAGATGTCACGGGAAACCTGGAATGCTGGCAGAGATTAAAGAATTGTTAGAACTTTTAGTCATGGGTGGCTGAAGTTGGTTATTAGACGTTTTCATTGTTGCTGTTCATTTACTAATCAATACAAATAGGTTTTATTTTCATTTGGGCTATCTAAGACTAACCATTATTGCAGAGCTCATGGGAGTATTTTTTTTTTTTACCTTTCGTAGATCAGAAATAGTTTTCCTTCTCTCCCCTGGCGTATTTGCCTCCACTCCCATTAACTTATTTTTTCCTTCTACCACGAATTATGGGATTTGAGAAATGCAGACAGTGTCTTTGGGAAGAAGCTTCATTGGGTCTCACTGGGCTAGAGAGCTGGGCGAGGACAGAGTGTAGAGAAGTTTAGGGAGGGCTCTGCTTATTACATAAGGTTTGATTTTCAGCCTGAGCTTTAAGGCAAGGAAAGATGTTTGATTGGACTTAAAGTGCCTTGGCTGATGTGATTGGAAGCAGGGACTTAGATCTTTTATGTGCAAGCATCTGTTTATTAATTCACTAATTCTACAAATACTTGAATTCCTATCTCTGCCTGGCACTGTGTGGGGTGCTTTTGCCCATGCTTCTCTTTTAACAGTCAGTTTTACATTGTTCTCAGATCCCACCTTACTGCCCTTCAGCCTTTGAGCACAATGTCTTGGAGGGATGGAGGTGACTGTGCCCAGGCTCCCAGTTCCTAAAGGGTGGGCTTGTTGAAATTAGGTTTTATCTCTTGTGCTCTTTGTACTCCTTGCCTCCAAGTTCCCATTATCCCTTTTGATTTTCATATTGATTGCCGTTGGGCTTCATATCTCTGCTTAACTGTTTTTTGCATCTTATATGTGACATTTAGATTCTGTTCCATTTTGGGGTCAGGGTGATATTAAGACCACAGGACATATCCCTCTGCTTAAACCTGAAGGTGTGCAATAAAAAATTAGATGTATATTAGGAAAGGAATTTCAGGCAGTAAACTGAGATGTGAAAAAAGGAAATGTGCACTGATGAGCCCTGACTTGAGGAATGTTGCCACATTCGAGCTGTTAGAGTTATTTCTGTAAAGGTGTTTCACAGTAATTAAGCTGAAGAGTAGGTTTTACTTTTTGCTTTTCCTTCAAAAAAAAAATGAGCAGACATACCTAAGATACAACCATATCTTTTTTTCAGTAGATGGCTCCACATTGCTGGAGACTTGTCATCAAGTTATTCAAGCAAAGGCAGGCGAACATCTTCCTGTGTCCTAAAGGACTTAGGCAGCAAAGACTCATAGATTGAGAGCAGAGGATCTTAGATTTTTGGATTTCACTGACCTGCAACTTTTTTAAAAATTGAAATCACAAATAGAATTGCTAAGTTTTTTCTTTTGCCAAGTAACAAAAGAAAATGATAAAATAATAATTATCAGCTATTACCATCTTTCTCTAAAAGAAAGGACATTTTAATGTCCCTTCACAATTACAAAGAAGGACACAATCTCAGACTAAACGTTAGTTCTTGAATTAATTTAGTTTAGTGAAAACCTTCAACCTTGTCCTCATTTTGTCACAGACCAGGAAAAAGTACATTGAAGCCTGATGTTTGTGATCCACTGTGTCAGATGACCGTTACTGTTCTAAGGTTAAATTACTATGAATTTGGAACCTTGTCGCAGTTACCCCAAAATTCATTTGCCTTTTATAGCCTATTGCAGTGAATTCTTGTTTTTATTTAATTAGTCATAAATGTAAAGTAGGCGTCTCTCAGATCATAAGGGAATACCCTCAGTGATAAACAAGGATGTTTAAAATATTTAGAAGCAGTAATGTCTCATAAAATAATGTTGAAAACATATGAATCAGTGTGTATTGAAGGAAGAGTTATATATACAGAAAAATTTGTCGGAAACTTGAGAGGTGGATTCTGGAAATAGGTAACATTTATGTAGTGGTGTTAAAATTTTCTAATGCTGGGAAATCAAATAGCCACCAAGCAGCACCAAACCTTTTTTCTAAATTCTTTTTCTAATGTACAAAGTAGGCATTCAATAAGTATCAGTAAATGTGCTTTCGTGAAGGTGACTAAATTTACTCACTTGTGGCTGTTAAGAGAACTGCATCACGTGTGTTTATGAAAACAGCTAAACCTAAGATCAGGAGAAAGTTTTGTTCAGGGTGATCCACAGAATGAAAATTGCCTTTCAGATGCTTTTTTGTAGAATTCTACCAAATTCCAAATGTATTCATTGTTTATAATGAGGGAATTCAGTGTTTTTAATTCAAATATATTGGTTGTCTGCTATGACCAGGCTTTGGGGATATCTTGGAAAACAAAACAAGGTTCTTTTCCTCATGTTGGGACTGATAGTTACCAAGTGTATAACAATTACTGTAGTGGGTAGGTCCGTATACTTTTGTGTTATGCTCTTTACCTCCTTATATTTCAGACTGTTGTCATTTGCTAAAGCATTCTTTTTTGACCAGATCTTCTCACTAATTCTGTCTTGAAAACTAAGCCCTTGCTTTTTTTTCATAACACTACTTTTTCCTTGGTTTCCTCCTATAGTTTTTAGGTTGCTAAATGTGATTTATTTTATTTTATTACTTTATCTCATCTCTTCTTGTCAACAAACTTATAGTGTAGGTGTCTTATTATTATGTTTTTGAGAGATTAAATTACTTTTCCAAGCTTATCAAGTAGAGGAGAAACTGGGACTCTTAATCTCACTCTGCTGGTCCCTTTTTCTTTTTACACGTCTTCTCTCCTATTGCTGTTCCTTGTCAGTAGCTGTCCTCAGATGCAGGCATTGGCCAATTCTTCTTTTCAGTCAACTTAATAACTAAGTTGTGGCTCTGTATGGTAAGTCTGGGCTCTGGATCTGTGCTTCAGTCTTCAATTTTGAGCTTTTTACAGAACATCTACTCTTAGCTCCTAGCTCAGATTCAACATATCTAAAACTGAGCTCATGATCTTTGTTCTTCAACTGACTTCCCTTGATAACGTCTCCACTTACTCAATTAAAATAATCACTTTTCCAGTCCTGGATACCCAAAGCCATAGAATGGGCTTTGATTTCTGTCTCCTCCATCATCCACCACATCCCATCAGCTCCCAGGAACTGTATACAGTCTGGGCTTCAAGTGTCCATTCTGACTGCTGCTGTTCTGATGAAGAGATTTCATCACTTGATACCTGGAATTTGGAATTTTTTCTTCTACATTTTCTCCTGTAGAACTCTATGTATTCCCTCCTTACCTTTCAGTCTCCTACTATTCTGACCCCCAAACATCTTAGAATTACATCAGATGATTTACCAAAACCAGATAGCTCAGCCCAAGTAGTCACATCCCTCCATCATTTTGGCCATACCTTGTATGTTCAAAATCATTATGTGC